ATGCTGTAACGTGATTATATTCCAAAACGAATACGGCATCGAGCTTTATCGAAGCTGATTAGGGCCACTGAAAAATAAATTAAAAATAATTCTGACTTTAATCTCAGAAAAAAAAAGTCAGAATTCTGAGATAAAAGTCAGAATATTCTATATGCCACGGACATCCGGCCCAGCACTGGATGCCACTCCCAACACTTCCAGTTCGCGGTCAACACGGTGTTAGCGAAAGATTTTTCACCCGACAACGACTCTTAATGGTCTCCACAGGACAGAATTAGCATATTACATGTACAACATTAACATAGACGTACAGGTCCAGCCAAGTGGAAAAAAATCACTCCAAAGTGGATTAAAGACATAAAAACAAAGAAAAGACGTTTGTGTTTATGGTTCCAGAATTTAGCCTTTTTCGCTATTCCGTAGCTGCTTATTCTGTGAATTTTTCACRTAGAGCTGTGACACTTATATTGTTGGAAAGAGCAGAGTCTGGGCTTTAAATTGATGAGCTACTTGTATGGTTTGGATTGTTTTCCCCGACGTTGGTTAACTGAAAACGTAATGATTATCAGGTGGAGGTTCTGCTGCTCTCGGTGCTCGGGGGGAGGGGGGCGCGCTCGTCACTCGGCTTTAGTCTACGCTGTAATATACACTCTAACAAGWTTTTAATTTTGCATAAAACCCATGACAAAGTCACGTAAAAACATTTCATATAACACAAACGCGCACACACCTACCTTTACCGGCTGCTGTGTTAGCTTCCTGCTAGCTTCCTGCTAGCTGTCGTGCGTAGGTGGTCTTTCCTCTCCCGGTCTTGGCAGTAAAAGGGGATAAATGTACATTTCCCTTTTGTAACCTCTGTCTTCTCATTTCTGATGCTGGCTCTTGAATGTCCTCAGGTTAGAAATGCCGATTACAAACACAASCGTGAGCTTTTAAAGAAATGTTTTGCCTGATGATCCACTGCTGTCACCTCCTCATCAAGAGGAAAATGTATAAAAACTAACTACTCGATAGTACCTGCTGCTTAGTGAACACAACGGCACACAACAGAACTCACGTTTTATACCAGTAGATCACAGATGCTTCAACTTTTGTGCCTTTTTCACGGACTGGTACTAGCAGCTAACGCTAAAAACATAGGCAGTAAGCAGAGAGTGGAAGGGAGGAGCGTGGCAAGAATTTTTACCGGAAATACGTCATTAATGAGCATGTAGGCTATTCTGAGATTAAAGCCAGATTACTTTTATTCATTTAATTAATTWATTTATTTATTTCAGTGGCTCTTCTCCTTTTCCGAGATTTATAAATAAATGTTAGAGGGTGCAGCAAACACTTTTTCAGAGAATGGGACGTTTGCATCGTTAATATCACCAACAGAGGGCGCGAATAAAACTCAACAATTTTTGAACGATGAAGAAGAAGAAGAAGAGAGGGGCGGGGAATTTGTAAGGTGCATGCTGGGATATGAAGTTTTTATCAACTAACTGCGATACTCTCCTTTTTTAGTTTATGAAAGTAACTGTTATCATCTAAAGCTTTAATAAAAAACTATTTGTTTGGTAAAATATGCAGAAGAAAGCTATAATATTATGTTAATGATGATTTTAAAACTAATTTTGTTCTCGAATCTTCTCCGCGGCGGTCGTTTACCCACAGTGCATCGCGGCGCTTCCCTTTCTTCTCGGTTGTGCGGTGGTCCAAAATGTCGCTCCTAGACGGTCCGTTAAACGTTCTCGGCCAGAGAACAACCGGCGAATCCGTTCGCACTCAGAATGGTGAGCTGTGCAGCCCAACGTGGCGCATTAGTTTACGTCTTTGATGATTTTTTTTTAAAGCGGCAGAAATACGGAGTCATTTACTCGGAACACGTGCGGCTGATGCTAAATGTTAGCTAACTCCATTGTAAACTAAGACATCGCTGCAGCTGTTTTAAGTTCATTAACGTGTATTACACTCTACAGTTTCTACATAATCCTCGGTGTGTTTTAATGCAAAACCCCATTTTAGTACCTTCCGTTCAGCCTAAATGAATGGGGGGCTATGCTAATGGGGTAGAAAAACCCTGTCATGATCTGAAGGTGTGGCTAGCTGACTGTGCGCCCCGCTTAATGAAGTGACAGAACATGTGAAACGTTTTGCTAATTAAGACAACTGTTTGCAATGTGCTAATTAAAGTGAAAGACGATCATAGCATCTGTTTGTTTTTACAGTCATGGCCGCAGCATCCATCGCCAAYATCGTAAAGAGCTCCCTCGGACCTGTTGGCCTTGACAAGATGCTGGTGGACGATATAGGGGTTTGTGTCACCAGCCAGGCTTGGGTTGAAAGTTTGATCAAGCGAAGTCCTGGTTGCACGTTCTCGATTGCTCATCTTATTGTGTTTTTGTGAAACAGGATGTGACCATCACCAACGACGGAGCGACCATCCTGAAGCTGCTGGAAGTGGAGCACCCGGCTGCCAAGGTCCTGTGTGAGCTGGCTGACCTGCAGGACAAGGAGGTTGGAGACGGGACCACGTCTGTGGTGAGTCCCATCTGTCAGCAAACCACGGGGAAAAAAAAAACCCCTCAGCATCATAAATCAAAATGCGACATCTTTTTGTGACATATTCTAGAGCAGGAGTTATTAACCTTTTTGACCTCGGGGCCCAATTTGTTGAACATAAAGTTGCACGAGGCCCAGTCTGACATTACCAGTTTATGGATCAAAATGATAATTATTCTAAATCTTGGTTTAATTTTTTATATTTATATTATAACTAAATTAAATACACTTACAGTTTTAAAGTAAAACTCCTGTCAAATAATCACAAGAC